TAAAGGTTTGAGATGGGTGTAGCCCAAGGGTCATAAGCGAAGTGTGCGGGGCTAGTGAAGAAATTTGAATGTAAATGTAAGATTGGAGAGCTGAGCTACCTCCATAACGACGAGGCTGTGGAGGTGGCCATTGTATTGTGAGAGATATCATGTCAATGTAAGATCGTAGAGCCACCGTCATATCAAGGAAAACGAACAACGGTGGCTGTGTTAGTGATGCATTTAACCTGTTAATGTGAAGACATTTAACCTGTTAATGTAACACCAGAGAGTCGAAAATAACTACTAAACATCACAGCGAGTTATGACTTAACCTGGTTAATAACGTCCTTCCAATGGTTGCTCAGTTTGTATCCATCTCAGTTTAAATTGTCTGTGTTTGTATATATATGGATGTCTTCATGAACGAATCTTTGCTGATAGCCAGTGGGTTTCCAGAGTACCTACGTCTTGGAAAAATCTATTTCGTGTGTGCCCACAGCATTAAAACAATGATCAACCACGACTGAGGTATTGGTCCTACCGTGTTTCATATCTGCCTTATGTTCACGAACACGGTCCGAGACATGTTGCTTAGTTTTCACAATGTAACTACTGCCGCAGATACAGCTTAGTTTGTAGACGCCGGGGTATTGCATGTCAGGGATCACATCCTTCACAGATGGGATCAGATCACGAATTTTATGTACTGTGTTGAATCGAACCTGGATCTTGTGTTTGCTCATGATATTTTAATTATTTTTTCTATCTACGTGGCTTCACCGAAAAACCCAAAGAATATTAATTCCTGCAGTCACGAAAGCTTTAAGTCAAGGTGTTAATACGTTCACTAAATAGATACCGTTTGCAAGGAACCAAATCTGCAATAACCACATGTACATTGTGGTGAATATGCAGACACACACGGTCTGATAATAAATTCATTGTCTTTGAAACGTTGGTGCACTCTTCTTCCATGTGTTTTGAAAGTGGTTTGAAACCTAACATGACCTGAATATCACTGCAGCGTTCTAATTAATTACATAACGCAAGCAGCTTTTCCCTCCTGGGTGTGTCTGGTCACTGCGTTTTTGAAGAAAGCAAAATTTCTCATCATTGATTATGACATTGATTATAGCAAAGAAGCATTGTTTGTCTTTGCACCCTATTGATGCACCTCATCCAAATATCACTGCAATGCCAGCACATTTTAAACAAGCACCAATAACAAAAGTGCAAGGTGTTTTTGTCATCAGAGTCAATACTAATTGTATCGACCACAATGCTAGGCGTATTAATGTATAGCACGCGGCCAATTGGAGAGAAGATACGACATGACCGTGATATTGCAGCCGTGGCAGCAGTCAGAGATGAAATGTAAATCAAAGCCGCAGTAGCGGGAGAGTGGTGCAGTGGCAGTGCACAAGCCTGCGTGTTACTCGTGTTCATCGATTTTTACCTACTTTTTATTTAACCAGGTAAGGCCAACTGAGCTATATAGCTCTTTTGCAGAAGCGACCTGGTCACTAGTGATAGCTCAGCGATGTATGCACGTATGTATGTACGTAGCCAACTGTGTTAATCGAATGTGCGGGGGGAGGGCAACAAACTAAACATAAAAATCAGTTCTGAAGAAATTACTTTTCAATCTAGATGATTTAAAAGTGCATAGCTCCAGTGGTTTGCTAATAGCGGAAGGAAGAGTGTTCCAGACGCAGCAGAGGTGGATATGAACACACGCAATGCAGTGACCGTCTTTGTTCAATGGCCAGCCAAAAGCCTATGTGAGGATGAGCGAAATTTGCGTGATGATTTATCTTCTTAACATATCTTAATTCGATCTATATAGCGCCTTTACCAAGGTGCTTTACAGCAATTATACAATTGTACATAGCCTGATAATAATTTGAAATAAATAATTGGGTTATTGTAAGTAGTGGTGTAGTTTTGATGCAGTACAACAAGAGGGATTGATAAAGGGAGTTTGCGATAGGACTGGTCGTAGTTGGGGGGCGACAGAAAGCTCCTTGACGAGAACAGCAAGGTATTGTGGTTCAGTGTGGCAAGCACTTTGTGTGTCATAAGTGTGAAGTGGCTATTCATGTGGAAATTTATAACAGGCAAATATTCATCTACTCGATTGGGATGACACCGGGCAATATCGCCCCATACTATGGCCTCCGCAAAAAAGAGTGGTTTGAGATTCAATGAAACTCTCTTGGGTGTACAAAAAATGAAAAGATTAAAAAAAATGTAATTGAATATTTTCTCCAGTGGCACAAAGTAGAGGCTGCCGCATCTGCTTTATAAACTCTAACAACCATTCCAGTGACAATTTCCAAGATAATGTGTAGTATACATTACAGTTTCCAATTAATTGAAACCCAGCAAGCAAATGTTGAATCGAAAACAAAAATGCAGACAAGCAAGGGTGGGAGTGCACCATCAGAGAGGGCAGTCAATCAAATAACATATTCCTAATAATAATACTTTATTTTATATATCTTAATTCATGCTCATAGGATGAATGCACAAGTTCACCACACAGTGTTTGCGATGAGAGGCGGCAAGCAGCTCGGCGAGGCTGCAACACTTAAAGGTGCAACTCACGAGGGATTTTTGTTGAATTCGGCCACGCAATGATCTGACCAAATTTGTCTGGTTAAGACCCTCTTGCCACGGCGACAGAGCCAAACAAATTACATTGTCACGCGGTGTACAAAGCATTTAATGCATCAATTATTATTGCAGTAGCAGCTGACCGGTAAGTTGAAGAGCAAAGTCTCACGACAAAATTCAGCATGACGTGGCCTAACCCAAAAATCAATTATCAATCATATTTGCTGCGAAATCCTGCGTGTTAAACTAACGGTGTCGATCGTTCGGCGCGAATGTTGCACCGATTTTTTTTTAGACACCGTGACAGATTCTCAGGGTTGTTTATGAGGATTTGCAGCCTTCGTTGTACTTGTGGTGTCCATGAGGTTGCATGGGGGGTGGGGTGTGAATTGTAGACCCTGTCTCCAGAGGGCTCAGGACACTGCAGGCTATTGAGAGGCGTTGTGTGAGAAGGGTGCTGAAGGAAATGGCCACGTGGCTCGGGGAGGCGAATCCTCAGTATTAGCACGGAGCCAACGCCACTTAGATCCTAGGTTAACATCAGCGCAGCCACCAATTATTAAACCAAAATGATCTCTCCTCGTGAGACTCTCAATGTCAAAACTGATCCAGAGTTTTTGCGTGTGTTGACCCAACAGCTGCTGATATTACACACTCCCACAAGGCCATGTGGCTGATGGGATATGTAAACCATATCTATTTTGTCTAGTATAAGGCTTTACTACCAAGGTCACGTTTTTCCCTGAAAACATATACGTATGCCGTACTTGGCATAGGTATATGGATTAAATTGGATTAAAAAAGAAAGCTCACCATACAACCACTTCTCGATGAATGCCTTCCTCCACCATGTCGACCATTTCAGTTGGTTGACCATATTTCGCTATGCAGGTTGATGCGGGTTGGCAAAGGGAGGCCCAGGAATTGTTTTAGCTATTACTTGCCACGGCCGTTTTTCTATGGCCGGGAATCGAATTGGGATCGCCCGAATTCGATTCAGGGCATAAATGCGTGATTTTCTGAGCCACTGCTTCCCCATTGATGGGCGATATATATTTAAAACCACACAAGAACTCGCTGAGACTGCGGTCCCTTTTTTAATATCACCTGCATAAACATAAATGCAGCATCAGGAGAGTATAGCAAATACAAAAAAAATCTAAAACAATGCACTAAACAAATGAGGTGACATTTAGAAAACATAATACATTTTTACAAAAAACCCATAAAAAATAACCTACAAAGTTTAAAATAAGAAACTTGCAGGATGTCTGAAGGCCACACATGGCATGGAAAATATAATCTGGAAAGGTTTGCTGGATTGCCTGTATGAAAGCGACATATACAGGACAATACTATATTTGTTTACAGGCATCTCGGGGATTTATCTTTTTTGTCGACCTGAAACAGATGCTTACTTTTTTTTATCAACATTATCAGCCACGATCTCTCCACTGCTGAACACTGACACAATCCTTCACTGACCCCTGATGCCATAATGCAGCTTGTTCTCACACGTGAGTGGATGCCATCGCTCAACCTCTTGTGGTCAACCCTCGTGGGCACGTTCTCTCCTTTTGATCTATGTTTGTCTATCAGTGTAATTTCCAACATGTCTTTCATGATTCTTTGTGACCTTTCAGCCTCTTCTCCATTTCCCTATATTATAATAAACAAAGTAGGACGTGAAGCGCTTTACCATTCATGTAGTTGGATTCTGTACTAGTTGGAGTTGTAATTTTACCGTAATTGTATGTGACTCACACTCATGAAGCTCACTAAACGCATTTTATTGTTTTGTAATTTGAGGATGAGAAGAATATTGATCTCGATCGATGCAAATTTGGCGCCAGCGTGCATTTGCTTAGCATGCGCATTAAGCTAGATTCATATTTATGCACGTAGATTACGTGACTTTAACAAAAGACCCAAAGAGTATGAATTCCTGCAGTCACGAAAGCTTTAAGTCAAGATTTTTTAAATAATACATAAAAAAACTATTTGTATTTTACCAAGTAAGGACCACTGAGACATATACAGTAGCTCTTTTTCAAAGTGACCTGGCCATAAATGAAGTGGCTTATCACGTGGAAATGTATAGTAGCAGCCACATACTCTAAACGCATGTTTCTATGTGGAGGGAAAAACTGGAGGATCCGGAAAAAATCCACATGACCATGGGGAGAACACGCAAACTCCAAACATATAGGCGACAGGGTCAGAATAGAACCCAAGACCTCCTGTATACCAGGCGAGGTAGTTAACATCTCGTAATGCATTGCCCACGTCCCAGACAGCCAACGCAGTCTGATCGACCCCCCCACACCTCCAAGCGTTTACAAAGCTCCCGACGCATAACAGCACCCACACACGAAATGCAAATAAATACACGCGTACGCTAATTTTTTCAGAAATAAAAGTTTATTATATTTGTGAACATTCAATGTACAAGAATGGTAACATATGCTATATAAGTATTAAGAAAGGTCATTAACATACTGTAAAAAGGCAATATACATTTATCACTATAATCTATGTAATCTAATATGGTTTAACAGAGAGATGACGATAATGGTGATTACCCAAATTTAGTTGCAATTAAAATAAATTGGTTTGGTCTTAATAGCAAACTATAGTAAGTTAACTTTCATTTGACTGGCATTGGTTTCTTGTTTTATAAAATTCTACCTACTGGCTGTAATAATGCAGCTGTTTTTTTCTTACAAAAGCGCTATGCACACAAAACCTTCCCGGAAAAAACGTGATATTTTTTTTTAGTTTTCATATAAAAACTTGGTTTTTGCACATTTTTAATTCAAGGCCTTAATATTTTTGCCAAAGCAGTGTGTGATGTTTTGTTATATGTATTATTGCAACACATGGTTACAAGATGACTGATACATCATGAGGCCAATTGCAATAAAATATCGAAAACCTTTTTCTGTCAAAAGAGGAGGTTGTGGGGAGGGGGGCAACATTAACTTTTTTTTATCATTCAACAGAACATCCCTGCGTAATTGTTTGCCTACGTTTGCACTCGAGGTTATTTCCTCAGAAACAAATGTCACGTCTAAACTAATAACTCGCTAAGCTCTTGAGGATCCAGATTCTGCGAATATAATATATACATCGTACGTAATTCATAGCGAACAACGTAAACGCTTGCTTTTATGATATGAAAGACATACGGGTGCTACTTAGATGTGGTGGATTTCATAAGCCAGCGGGTGGGTTCATAACATGAGTATATCGCACTAAGAACAGCAACACATACGTACTGTCATCACAGCTATGAAACAAGTTCAACAAAAATCATAAATAATTTTGCTATACATCGTTATGTTAAAAGTTTTAAGGTTTAAAATCTAATTACTGTAATTATACAATACTGTAATTTGAGAATCAACAATGTTTCTTGCACATTTCTTTTTTCATTTTGTGCATTTCTTCATTAGGTGTTTTATCAAAGGTGATATTGTATGCAGTGAAAAGGAATGACCTCGGACACATTCACGTACACTTCCAATGTCAGAGAAGCGTCCAATAGTCGTGAGACACGCAGAATTGAAAACGGTAGGTGGTTTAGAGCCATGTTATGTTTTCTTTTTGACCTACTGGTTTTATTTTCGTTATCCTTATTTTACTATAAGGATGCAAGCCCAATTATTCGTCGAATGTTAACTCATGCAGCTGCCTGCTTTTCCCAGCGTAAGTGCCCATGTTGTGAAACGTGCAGTAGAACGTACGTAACCGTGTGTTGTTAGAATGCCAAAAAGAACGAGACTTTTAGATGACAAATTCTTTCAGGGCAGAATCCTAGCAGGAATGAAGATCAGCGTGACTTAAACAGGATTCCAATTTCATTTTTGCAACAAGTATGCACACGTACAAATAACTTAAGAGACATGCAACATTATCACAACCCAATAAAGCACATTAAACTTTGTACCAAACACAAATGTATCTGCCAAGCTGTGGTTACGCATTAAACAGATGTAGTATTCAGTACACAACGTATACACAATGTTATCATAGTCAAAATGACAAAAATACGCAGTGACCTATAGCCAGATAAAAGTAATTAAGATGAAATGTAAATTGCCAGTGTCATTTTAATTATCATATATGACAATGACTACATATTTCAATGGAATAACTATCAATACATTTACATTTTATATGAGTAATCTGTTGATATCACATGCACATACAACTTTGCTTTAAGTTTAACAAATATGTAAATAACGTTTCAAAAACAAGAAGTGAAAATGAAAAAGACGTGTCGTATATAGGTAAACAAAAAAGTATTGTTGGTGATCAAAAACTCTGATAACTGACATATTGGACACAAGGTAAATGTAGAATGTATGTAAAGATATATCATAATGATATTTTTTTGGATTTTATTACAACATTTTAAGTGTGTACAAGATACTGACAAAATAACAATCAATTACTGTACTCAAAACTTAGAGCTTTGGCAATTAGCACGAATTGAGAAATATAATCAACTTGCATTAAATGCAACTGGCATTAAATGCAAATAGCAGTTCAGTGGTATTTATTTGTAATAATTGGTCAATATCAGATGTTATCATATTTAGGGAATGTATCTTAAGCAAATATATATTAGATGTGACATGCTGGTGGTGTATCAATGATAATGTCATTTTAATCACATACAAGTTAGAAATAAACGTATTCATGTATGATTTAGCTAATTTTAATGGGAAATCTTGTAAAAAATATCAGTGTAAAAAGCAATGTTTTCAAATGTATTCAAGATAAATTTCTGCTTTATTATTATTATTATTATCCGAGTGGCACTGTGGCAAGAGTATTTGGATGCATGGCCAAATGCTCGTCAGGGGCAGATGCAGCCCATAGCTCCTCTGACATTACTGAAATGAGTATCCATTTGTGAGAAGTCAACAATGGTTGTGCTTTGGCGAGATCGGTATCTACCATAGGGTGGAATTTTAACAGCGAACTCAAACAGACACTGAATTTGAATTGCTGATATGTCCAAAGAGCTTCCACTGATTGGCCTATACCCCAAGACTATAACTTATTAGATGCTGTACTCATTGTACCTGCTCAATATAAAGCCAAAAAGCCACCGATCAACGTACTAGCAGTGCTCGTGATCAGCATCACATAACATAACTGCTGAGATAATGTATTTAATGCTAAATGCAGCTAAATAATTTATATTTATTCCCAGTTCCCTTCAGCTATGGCGAAGTAAAGATGGCAATACTGGACACCTTGAATCATTGTAATGTACATACATGCTATCGTGTCATACAACAAACCGATTATAATTCAAACTAAAATATCACCATGTAAACAAATACATGTAACATCCGTTCTGATTTTAAAATGTGTAATGTCTTTAACAATGACATGAATAATGTAGGTGAAGATGCTAAATAAAAGGTAAACAGACTTTTTACCTTCAGTTAAAACTATGTAAAGATCCACACATTTACAGAGTGCTAAACAAGAATTAAACATTACTGCACATTTATATGCATCTTAAAATTTGGCGGAACTGCGATGAAATGGTTAACACACTGTAATTGGAACCCAGTGACCTGAGTTTGAGTCCCGGCCACAGCTAGTGGCTAATAAGCAATATTTGAAACCAGTCCTGGCGCCCCATTCACAAATCTGGACTGACCATAGCGGTGAAGTATGATCAAGTATTTATGCAGACAAGAATTGACAAAGGGCTGCAAATGACTCTGACTGTATTCAACACAAATGCTATGCTTGATTCTATACATAGTGACAGTGTCTGTATATTCAATACAATGGCTGTATATTTATGAATGAGAAATGAATAACACTACAGCACTTGCAAATGTGAGTACCCTGATCCATATTTGTTTTTGGGTTAAGCCACTTGGTGTTAGTTTAACACCGACATTATTTTCATTAACCCTCTACCAACTGTCACGATTGTCACGTTCACAAAGATATTATTTAGATGTGGCCAATGTGTCGATCAAATCCTGACCAATAAAGTTCCTCACTGGTGGCTGAAGATTTTTCATGACATATATTGGACGTAATTTGATTTGATACATCGGCACCTACGAATAATATCTTTCTAAACGTGACAATCGTGGTGGGTGGTGGAGGGTTCATGACGTGAAATTTGGCACGAAACTACCACGTGACCGAACCCAACAACACACGTGGATCTTTGCAAAGCTATAAAAAACACACATTTCATGTATGCTCGTGGCTGCTTGCTTGATTATTTGACAGCATCCTCCACGAGCAGTCTCACTGTCATAACGAGCACTGCCCGCGCATTTGCGAAGGATAATTACCCCGCGGCGCTGTTGCGTACGGTGTCAGCGTTAAGTGCCATCGATACGTCGGCACCCATCGCCTGTCAGCCCTATAGGGTGACGTCACCGTGGTGAAGCCATTCTCGTGGCTTAAGGGACGATGACGTCGTGCGTAAACATCGTGTTTCAACGTAAATCAATGGGGAAGCCAGCAGAAATTGGCCGCCATTGGTTTGATTCGGACGTACCGTTTTGGAAATAACGGGGGCAAAATATTGTTCATTGGGCACATGTCCTCGTCAAGAGAAACATTTGCTTTGTGTTCCTGTTTAATTTTCGTGCTCTGAACTGTGTGCGACATACAAAGCGTGACGGACGGACACTCGTGAATTATTTATACACTGTATATATAATAGCAGTGTAGGCAAAGTCAGATGCTGCGGACTTACTACAGACTTTCAAAGTCAGATGATGCCAACTTGCAACGGACTATTAACGAAACACTGCGAGCTTTACCCGTCGCTTTGGTAAGCAACTGTGGGGAATCACTTTGACTCTCATTCGTACACAACAAGGTCAGAGTGCACCCAATAGCCCTGGGACTGGCCCTTGGCCTCATTCTCACGTGGCCCTGTTGAGATTCACAGCCCGTTCGAGAGAAAAAAGGACAAATCAATCGGCTCCTTTACATTAACTGGATGATAGTGCATCAATACTCAGCAGGTCTTTTGTGAAGAAACATAAATAAATTAAATCTATCAACTATTTATTTCATCGTTAGTAACAGATAATTATGTTTTACTGCAGCACAATATGTAAAAGGATTTTAATGTTAATGTCGCATGTCTAATGTGTGCTAACATTAGTCATTTCAGTATGGTAATTCCCCAAACTACATTACCGGGCAACTGCAGGAGTAGTTGAGTGCACCGACCACAAGTCTTATGCAGTGATCATATATTATAGAATATGGTATAATATGTGGTTCTCCTCTCTGCTATATTTCCGGGCTGTGCCGCATGTTCGCCATTATAGATCTCACGTTTCGCTCCACTTTCCACTCAACGTACTGGAAGCTTTTTTCTGTTCTTGTTCTTCATAGGGTTGGCAACTTAGACTGAAACTATTATGGGATTTTTTTGCTTTAATTTATTCTCTGCACCTGGTATGCTGGAGGTCGTGCGTTCAACCTCGACCCTGACGCATGCTATATATTTTGAATTTGCATGTCTCTTCCCGCGGTCGCTGGGATTTTTCTCTGGGTCCTCCAGTTTTTTCCCTCCACATTTAGAAACATTCGTTTAGAGTATTTGGCTGCGATACATTTCCACATAAGTCACTTTGTTGAGCAATCATTTGTGGCCAGGTCTCTTCTGAAAAAGAGCTACATAACTCAGTGGGCCTTACCTAGTTAAATAAAAATATATTTTCGTTTGTTTTATTATCATACCCCGGATTTCTTTCAATCATCACTGGGATACCGATGCCAATTTCGGCTGAGAACCCTGGCCAATCCAGGAGTAGAGTTGGCAACCTTACTTCTGCAGTTTAGTTGCTGAAGAAGCTCCCGGCATGTGGAGAGAAACGTCGGACATTGTAGAGCGATGCAGCATAACCGCGATACCCTATCCAGTCCCCAGTAGCATGGTTGTCCCATGCAGGAACTTCCACCACTGGCTCAGGGCTGCCAAAGGAGAAGCCCATGCACCGCTCATCTGAGCAAAGACACATTTTCAATTTGGTCTGTATATCGTGCAGTATATGACACTGTATTTAGATAAAAAATGTGTGACTACAATACATTTTGACTATAACAATGCTATATTTAGTTGATAGCATTTTATAGCATTCGAGAATACGTAATCAAAAGTACAGACATGTCAAAATTGGCAATTAGATTGCATTGTGCCTTGATTGTGCCTTCATTTGTGATGCTAAATAGATGTTGTTTAAAACCCGGTGCAGCTACACTCAATTAGCGAGAGATCCAAAGTGAGTGTGTGCATCTCCGCATACACGCTGTGTATATTTGAGGTTCGCAACTGTTTTGGTTCCCCTTCAGTGCGCGTGCCCTAGATAATTAAGGAGTCATTGCTCACTAACAAGGTTGATCTTTATTACATGGCCCACTTGATTCCTCTGTATGTGGTTTTCTGTCAACTCATGCGTCTATCAGTCTTTACGGATCACGGTTCAGTTCAGACACTGCGAGCCATGGGCTCATCGAGGCAAGGTCGTGCGTTCAAAGCCTGGTCAAAGCCAATTCAGCCAATCGTCCCTGCAGCGCCGGTATAACGAGCACCGCCTGCTGAGCTGCGCTGTTTAGTGGGACGTCACAAGTCCCAGACAGAGGCTGGTACCCACCATAGCAATACGCCCCGTTCACTGTAGGCTAAGAACAGAGGCGTGGCCAAGCCAGCTGGCAAAAAAGCGGCACTTGCACCACCACCCCAATAATGTTGAGGGCCGCTGTCATCTTGTGCCTACTTTTGGGCGGCAGGATGGGACGGTCGTAACGCTTATGCCTCACAGGAAGAAGTACCTGGGCTTGATTCCTGACTTGGGTGCCTGCCTGAGCGGAGTTTATATGTTCTCTAAGGTCCTCTGGTTTTTCCCTCCACATTTAGAAACATGCGTTTCAAGTATTAGGCTCCTTTCAATTTACACGTGATAAGCCACTTCATTGAGCTATCGTTTGTGACCAGGTCGCTTCTGAAAACGAGCGATATAGCTCAGTGGGCCTTAGCTGGAATTTTTTTATGTTTTAAATTGGGATTACACATAGCAGCAACGTCACCTCCTACGAATATTTAGCAGGACCCTCTTGAGACTCAGTGAAAAAATGTAATACTGTGCAGCAGCTGCAGGATCTGGTGGAATGAAGAAAGCACAGTCAAGGTGGGGTGGCATCAACGGTTTTGGTCAAGGTGACAGGTTGATCTTAAAAGTCCGAGACCATTTTTGTGTTCCATCATCGCCTGCCCCCTTTGGGAAGTTTGTAGACCCCGTCTCTACACCTCTGATCTCGCAGTGTTTCTGCAGGCACCCGAACCACAGTGCCAACAACCATAAGGGAATGCCAACCACGGTTACGACGTCTGTATTTGATTTCAAATAATACTGATTCCCAGTACAATTACAATTTAAATGTACCATGCAGTACGGATGTAATCTAAGATGCTCTCTACAGGACAATTTGAAAGCACCACAGATCAGGGAATGCAAAGTACAGCACTGCTATTTAGTCCCTTTATACGCTGCACATGTTCTCTAATGCTCTTCATATTAATGTGTGCTGAGGAATTAGTGTTGATTGCGTCATAAGTAACTGTGAAACAATTAATTCAGCAAATACACAGTAGACATGTGAGTGTGGCATGGCAATAATGTAATTAGCCCTGTAACTGTAACAAATCAATGTTTGCCTCCGCAGCTATAACCCTGTATATGCTGTCAGTAATAAAATCAACCATTTATAAAAATGCCTGATTTTGGTGTTTTCCGTGGCTTCCTCGACAAAATCACCCGGAATGTGCCCGATCTCATCAGATCTCGGAAGCTCATCAGCTTGAACGTGGATCGCGTAACAGGTGATGTGGGCAGTAGAGGACAGCGTGGAAAAATACATTTTTGTTTTGTACTCCCCCCCCCCCCAACTTCACTCACTTGCACTGACCACCACGGTAAAATATAATCAACTATCCCTCACGACCCGCAGGGCATGGGGGAGGCCCTCATTCATCAGGGGATTGGCAACATAGGCTGTGCGTGTACTTGTAATGAGGATGGAGCGGTGGCACAGTGCCCACGGACCTGAATTAGATTCTTGGCAAGGGCTAACATCGGTGGCTAGTGATATTTGAACTGAGTGATATCCGAACCGGTCTTTGGGCCTCCACCCTTCACAACCCACACAGCGTGGTGCAGTATGGTCAAGCAGTCCCTGTTCCGTGTCGGTCCTCATCCAGCATTGGATTTACTAAGTGCTGCACATTACATGTGATGTATACGAATACTTTGTCATTTAATCCCAATGTCATTCAGTCCACAGGGCATATAAATAATTTAAAAAAAGCTTACAATAAATGAAAAAAAAACATTTATCATGGCCAAATGCATACAATAGTATGGCTCTCATTTCATTTGTGCATAAATCTCTATGTTTCCCCTCTACGACCGGTCCATTTCAGCCGCGTGTTTTGTGTAACTGCAAACAAAGCGCCATACACTCAGAGGCAGCACGTTTGTTGCTCTGCAGGGCTGCGGCTGTTTGCGAAGCTACAAGCATCTGGCCTCCATTTTACAATAAAGAACTCAACTCAAGCGCATGTGATGACAACATCTTGGCACTGCTCCGAATCCCATCTGAAACTGAAGGTGGTCGGTTTTGTATAAAATACGCATCACTGAAAAAAGACTTGCATATGAAAACTGTGGACGAAAACAAAATGTGTACCATGCACAATCTTTCCATTAACTCTGCTATGAGGAGTCCAGGGAAATTCAAGTGTTGATAATCTAGAAGAAAAAAAAAACAACGGTTCTGTGGAGAGATTGGCTTCTTTCATAGGAATGTGGAAATTACTTCACTTGTTCAGGACTGCCAACGAAAATAAGCAGTGTCCACAGTTCGTATTTGCACGATGCACTCGCTGACTTGCAAAATAAAACGTGGAGCTAAGCATAACTCACAGAGCGTATGTTCACAGAATAATAAAAACTGAGGAATCTTGTTCAATTTGTACTACACTCGCTTATCCAATGTTGTTCTTCATTAACTTGTGTTGATTTTGTACAAGAGGTGTAGACGCAAATGTTGCCTCCCTGGCACCTTTTTAATATCAGTGCAGCCAAGCCCCTCAACAGATCAATATACAAGTGAGATTACTCTCGCTTGAGGGAGCTTTGCACATTCACAAACAAGGTGTAGATTAGGAAGTATTGATAGCTTTCGCAGCATATGTGCCTGCATGTTCACGTGTATTAGAGTTTAAAAGCAACATATTGGCTCGGATGGGTTTTAAATTACACACTGCACAGCAATGCATACAAAGGTGTGGCTATATTTCTGAAATTTTAAATGAGTGAAAAATATTATTTGTGCGTTTATGAATTATTTTGGCACATACAGATATAATAAGGACTGTATAATATATATGTCATCTTAAGGATGAAGCAATATAGTGGTAGCATGTATATAGTGATTTGCTGTTTTACTGGATGTGTTAAATTCAGCTTGCAGACGTGAGCATGCAAATAGTTCAGCATTCCCAGTTTGCAAAAAAAATATTAAATTGGGGTGGCAATAAACGAAGGCATTAACATTTCTGGTATTACCATTAATATAAATTTATTCCTTTTACATCAAGCTTTTTTACATTTATGCAACAACAAAAATTCCTAAATACCTTTGTATTCTAATATTTGTGATAAATGTTTTACTTGAAATTGTGTAAAAAAACACAAATACACTCCGAGATCATAGTCAACAGGAGCAGGAGTGCTAATGGGTAACCGGCCAATGCCAAGATAATGAATAATGCTCTCAACCAGCCTGGCTACCTGCACAGTGAGCGCGTTCCTCTCAAACGATGAGGTCATGAGCTCAATTCCCAGTTGGGAGCCAACCCAGCCCACCGTGTTTCCCCAAGTCTACAAAGCGAGCAACGCCTAATGGGAAATTACCAGCGGTAATCCTACGTGGACTTTGGCCCCTGCCTTCGAGAAGAACAGGACCACCAATGCAGATGAGCACTGACACATTGGCCTGGCCTCAGGACCAATCATGGATAAAAGTGCCACTCAACAGTTGTTTGAATCCTACTCTTAAATTGCATTGTTGGACTGATTAAAAAATAAAAAAGAACGAGCTAAGTTGGTTTCTGGCCAAATGAGCAAGTGGACAATTTTACAGACACTTGATCTTAACACATCATTTTAAAATTGTCCATAATTGAAAGGTGCATTACACATGCACTGCATTATTGAGTTGAATAACGCTGAAGTAGAAGGTAAAGTTTATATAACATGTTTTGTCTGTATTTTTGCTAAATATTAAAGTTGTTATCTAAATAACCCAGTGCAGTAATCATTTGTTGCCAGCAATCTAAGATAAATAGTCCATCTGTATACATTACCATAGACAATAAAATCGGTCAAAGCCAACATTAATTTAAATAAGGAATCCTGTCAAGCCATATATCTGTATCTGGCAGAGTTAAACACATAGACAAGGTGGCACAGCATATGTTTTGGTAAAATGTTAAGAGCCAATAAACGATGGGGCGCTTCCTTCTCTCCGTGCTGCTTTATCACAACACAAAGCAAATGTGTAAATATGATATCCACACTGAACGGCATTGCCCTGTACTGTATATTGTCCGCTTCAGATTGTATTGTTAGCCCTTATGCTTAGAAAAATGTACTGTCTGCATCTCAAGTGATGCAAACTTAATTCAATGGTATCACTTTATCCCTCGGTTGGAAATGTTTATGGCAGTTGACAGAAAATTTTCAGTTTTAGTAGAGGGGATTACACTCAGTTAAGCAGTCTCAATAGACTGTGATGACATTTGAATCGATGATATTCTACGCGTGGCCAGTGGTAGAAGTTATGGCAGGGGTCAGTCATGCCAAAGCACAGCCACGGTCACTCTCCCACAATGTTCTACTCATTCTATCACCTCTAGAGGATGGTTTGGGCCTGAATTCCTGACCAGGAATCAACTCAGCCCAATATACCTTTTTGGGTCGATAAATTGGCTTTAGGCTTAAGCCCTCAAAGTATATGAACACTGTCCACAGCTGGATTGGTCACAATGACACTTTGACATTACCTTGAATAACACTCTCAGCCTAAATGTAAAAAAATATTTCTGGGCATATTCCAGTAACCATTGCCTATTGTTGGTAAAATAAAATGCTGTGACTATGTGAACAGATGGTAAAATAATTCCAAATTCGTATGAAATATTGTGATGTCATAATATCGCACTTTGTGGTCTAATACTTGATAGAGACAGTAGTTTAGCACTGTTGCCCCCAACTAAAATAAATACATCCTTACTAAGATACCCATTACTTTGACCTTGGGGGAAAACTATAGCGTGAATTTAAATTTAAAATAAGTAATTAGCATATAAGTGTGAGCTACATTTTCAAACAATGACTATTATTAGGCAATTTGTAATAATTGATGTCTTCATGGTTTAAAGTCAACTCACAAAATTGGACAAAATCAATGCAGAGATGCATGAGACTGATCATGATAAAATCTGCTCTTGTCCCTTTGTAAAACTGACATGTATATCACCGCTTACATTCTTTCAATTTCAGGCATGGTATAGTATGTTAGTGTACCACACTCGGAGATTATGTTCATTCATTTAGTCTCTACGTTCCGCTAAAACCGCTAAAAAAAAGAAGGCTTGACCTTGTAATATACTGCAGAATTCACATTTAGAATTTCACAATGCGTATGGATATTAAGTAAGGCATGCAAGGCATAACAATGACTCTTCTGCATAACCTCATTACCTGGATCAGTATAAATGTGTTTAGATAACTACGTATACTGTTTTATTGCAAATGCATCTGTCCTAGTTTCCGTGTAATTCAGGTTGTAAACGTTTGCTTACCCTTCTTAGATTGGATTGAATCACAAAAGCTTCAAAGTAGTGGTGTTTATATGCTCTAGTAAACATACATGCATTCCAGTTTAAGGTTTCAGTATTTGTTATATAAAATGCTTTGAGTAGCTACCATAGACGACGGACCAATCATGACACGTACGGTTGTATTTCCTGCCTGGAAACAGTTTTCTGCTAAGAAGCTTATTCTAACGTACAGTGGACAAAATCTCCAGGTTTATGCAATGTACAGTGTTCAGAGTATAAGTGTAAAATACTGTAAAAAGCCCTAGCCCTTCCCCCTCGGTACGCTAGCCTGAGCCAGATCGGTCCAGCCACCTTGTTCGTAAGCATTCGAACGTTTCACAAGACGCCCTCGAAGAATACCCACTTCTGGTTCAGGCCTTTCACCCGTGTTGTCAGCGTCATGGATTTTGGCTGATCAAGTGTTTTGGCAGGATGCATATGAAGCGTGGATTAAGGTCACCCTGCACCATAAACTCAATCACACGTTGGGCCGTTTATCCCCAATGCCATGTAAGATATCGCTCGTCGTGTTTCTAAACCCATGGGGTCCAGAAGTAATGGCCATGTATGTCTCCTGGGCAACCGGGAGCCTGGTGATCCTGTGTCCATCACCATCACAGTAAGGGAACCGTGCAGTTCTACAGCTCTGAACCCTGGATGACTGAGATATTCCACAGTGGGCCTGGCAGATTGAATAATCCAAACACAGTCCATTTGAAATGAAAGAAGGCTTGCATGGATTCAGAATAAGTGCATGTCATATACCTCCATATTCGGAAAGGTGGTAAAGCTGGCAGATATTTTTTCCCCTACATTGTACTTGTGTATTGGTCAGAACTGTTGATCAGACTCACAAAGAGTGGACAAGTTATACATATTTACTCCGCATTCGTACACAGCTCTGATATTATCACTTGCCTAATTAACATGTGTCACACCATGTTGACGAGTCCCAGATGGGGCAAATATTCAGGCTGTATAAGCATAAATAATTTATATCCTGACAAAGTGAAACTAGTTTAGGAGTGTACTTCACTGATAAACCTGCAAATGTGGAAAAAATATATAATTGCAAGCACCAGGAAGTGTCTGCAAAAAAATGCTTCATAATCTTCATATTTCGGTGAAGGTTTATGACTCATTGAGGGGGAGAGCTCCATATGGCTGACATTTACCAAAGTTTGTGAAACCCTTGTCATGTTTTTTGCGTGTGTTTAGTTTGTTGTCCTTCCCCCGGACCTCCAATTAGCGCTGTTGGCTGCATACAATGCGAAATAATTTCAACATACATAATTTGTGAGAATTTAGCATTGATCTTGGTCGTAACCATTACAGCTGATAAGCATTTCTGTGACGTGTAGCCTGTCATGAAAACTCAGATCCGTAATAATCATCATAATAATGCAACACTGACAACAGTTTAAAGAAATCAATTTCAGGTGAAAGCATTAAACAAGAAATGGGTACCTCATGCCTGCATACCCCAACTCTTTGCAGTGTGCTTTGAAAGCAACACCGATTGTAACCATGACACAACAATGTCAGCAGCTTCACACGCAGAGTCTTCTCATATTCTTCCCTCCGAAGTGCCTCACACTTCGTGAAAATATGGTATTTACAGTGCTGTCACATCATGTTTCAAACGGTATTATTCAGTGCCTGTAAGTTATGTAAAATGTAAACACACAAACGCGCGTATTGTATATATTTTTCCCTCACTTTAGTGTTTGTACCAATTATGAATTTTGGCGTTGACTGCCATACGTTTTAAACATAAATGAAACTCTAGACAATATCATAATTTGATGTGTGTTTACTTAATTTTAACAAGGAACAATTAAGAATTGACCTAAGTCAAGCAGAAACCCCAAATTCCGTCACATTGTTCGTAATTAACGCTTTTCAGAATTTTAACAGCAGTAGTCGGTTTGTTATAGAATCGCCAATATAAATAAATTAACATATTTAGTAAATATAATTTCTCCTCCTTACACATTATTTATGCAATTGCTATACACGGTATTTTACATCAGCCACTCAGACATACACTTGCTGCTGTTCAGTGTGGAGTAGTTCCGCCTCCGAGGGAGGCGTGATCAGATGCAAGCGCTAGCTTTAGGTAACCCAGCTGAGGTCACGCTTTCCTGTCGCACGGCAACAGGAATTCAAAAAAAGTTTTGCGACCATGGGTGGATGGGCGGTGGCGCTTGTTCTTTTTGAGTTTCCTTAATTGCCATTTAGGTTAATCTTTTTCCTTCCCTGTTTCTCATTTCTGCACGTCTTTGTTTCTCCAACAAACCCATTTTTTACAGGTAAAGGTACGCGATCCAATAAACGAGATTGAAGAGCGTGAAGGAGATGGGAAAGAAGACGCGCGAGTACGAGTCGAGCTTGAGGACCTGAATGTGGATCCGGCCCTCTTTCCACGACTGCCGCTCACAGTCCTCGAAGCAGCAGAAGAAGCTGGAGCAGTCTTTGCCGTCCAGGCATTCGTAGCCACCCTCCTCCTCTGCCTCGGCCGAGAGGTGCTGCATGGCGTTATTCATGGGCACTGTCGCCGAACCGGGTCTCACGTCCAGCACAACGGGGTTCTGCTTCAGCAGGGGCGGGGGGGGGGGGCGATAGGGTGGGTAGGAGTGTCACGACAATGACTCGAGCAACAATACCAGAAGATTCCAGGTCCTGTTCGCCGCTGAATCTTGGAAAGCGCAAACAGTTCAGCGTTAGTTTCATTTAGAGAGGCTAAGCACCGTTGTTTTCAATGACATTGTACTCACTGCAGAGAACTGTAGCGATACGACCGCCACTCTATGACAGCTGGTGCCAAACTGTGTCAACACACCCTCCTGCATGGCCTTGTGACAGAATTTATTTTATTTTAGTTTTTCCTTTCCGATTCCATTCCGAAAACATACACATGCGTACGCGTATGTCACCGGAATGAGAAAGGGTTAAAAAAGGCCATCGAAACACCAGTGCAGCATTTGGATTGGACAGGGGTGGGGAATTAGAACAGAATTGATGTTTTGCTGCAGCAGCTGCAAGAGAAGTGCTTGTTTTAGGGCAAACAGCTTGAGATGAGCAAGCTTGCCCCCCTGAGGTGAGGGAAAAAATTAGCAATGACAGTGACGAGGAGGTGGCCAGGTGACTCAGAGAGGTAGTGCTTGTGAACGTCAGAATAGTGAGTGAGCGCCACTGAGATCTTGAGCTCGAAAAGCGGAGCTTCCACCCGAGATGAAAGCTAGCTCTAAAGTAGAATTATTTCTTATACCAGTAAAAATTACTGCATACAAACGTGTATTAACAAAAATCTGCTTACTTCAGAAAAGCTCAGCTATATATAAAGTACTCAATGAGTATGAGCTCATTTCCACAGGCAGACCTGATATATTGTTTGAAATTAACATTCCTATGGCAAGGAACAGTCTGTCCACAGTACAACCACTATTGAAGTTTCTTTACTTGGACATATTTTGTACATTTTGCTTTTGACCATTTTAAAAGGGCTCACAAACTCAAACACCGCCATTATAAAATTCCGTATCCTTTATCAAGCATGTTACTGACCATTTAGACTCTTACGCCGTATGTATTTATTCAGATGTGTTTTTAGAACTACATTTAGCACGGTTGGTGCGAAAGAGATTCAACATACATAAATCAACAGCTTCCTGCCTTAACAGGTGGGATGCCATCCTTCAACTCGACACATGAAAATGATGATGATAAGGCAGGCTTATAATTGTTTCAGCAACACTGTCACATGGTCTAGTGGGAGTGTGTTCGCTGCTTATCGTAGGAGGTTCGCAGTGCAAATCCAGTGGCCACCCAGATGAACACCGCAGGCACATTGATTTAAAAAATGCACAATGTTGTCAAAGATCCAGTGACGTAATTCACACGCGTAAGCAATTGTGTATCGACATCACGGTTCACGCTTGGGCAAAATTTCCCACACATTACCATACCTGTCAACCCAATATATCAGTGCCTACTTTGTTACAGACCAATTCAGACCTTATTGGTCACCCCGTGCCCTTATAAATCTCAACCGTTCATCCTACAAAGTCCCATAACAAGGGAGAAATACAAACAAATAGATTTCAAAATATGTTTGCTCGTATTGAAACGGTTGTACGCCATATGGACCATGAAACACTATTTACTTGCACAAGAATACGGGTAAACCACATGGGTTGACAAGTATGTATTGCCCGTTTGGGATTATGCATACCAATTATCGCCCCCCCCCCCCCGTAATGTGAAAAACTTGGCAAGACCCTCCTAAAAAGAGTAATGAGACTCTGTGAGACTTTCCTACATTTACAAGCATAATGATGAATAATAACCATGAGCTGAATCCACATTTGACAAGCTCTGCACCCTGTGCCGTTCATAATAAAGAGACATCAAACAGTATCTCTCAATTGGTGACACGAATTCTCTTAACATTTTTCTTTATCACAGGTGGTGGCATAGATCCAGATAATCAATGCCGATGGCAAATTTATCTTGAACAAATAATTTCTTATTATAATAAACCAAACTTTGATCGATACGTATGTGCATTAAAACTGAGAATATATTTGTATTCTTCATGTTATTTGTTTTAAAAATACAGTGAGGGAAAAAAAGTATTTGATCCCCTGCTGACTTTGAACATTTGCCACTGACAAAGAAATGATCAGTCTATAATTTTAATAGAAGGTTTATTTGAACAGTGAGAGACAGAATAACAACAAAAATCCAGAAAAATGCATGTCAATAATGTTATAAATTGATTTGCATTTTAATGAGGGAAAGAAGTATTTGACCCCCTTTCAATCAGAAAAATTTCTGGCTCCCAGGTGTCTTTTATACAGGTAACGAGCTGAGACGCGGAGCACACTCTTAACGGGAGTGCTCCTAATTTCAGATTGTTACCTGTATAAAAGACACCTGTCCACAGAAGCAACCAATCAATCAGATTCCAAACTCTCCACCATGGTCAAGACCAAAGAGCTTCCCAAAGATGTCAGGGACAAGATTGTAGACCTACACAAGGCTGGAATGGGCTACAAGACCATTGCCAAGCAGCTTGGTGAGAAGATGACAACAGTTGGTGCGATTCTAAATTTGAAGCTTTCGTGACTGCAAGGATCCATACTCTTTGATTCTATTCGGTAAAGTCACGTAGGTAAAAATAAAATAACCACGACGTTTCGGCCACAACACAAGTGGCCTTCATCAGGTGAAGGGACTGGACTGTCCAGAGGACAGCGTTGGAGTGAAGACAGCAAGCCCAGGTTGCGTCCTTTAAGCTGTGTGGGAGGAAACAAAAAACGCCTTGACAAAGGAATTATCATAAAATGATGTACTGGACCGGCACGGTGGGGGGGGGGGGGGAGTTTACATAATGTTGGTGTGAAGGCAAATAAGCTGCTGTGAAAGTTTGGAATACCACTACTGGATGGCGTCTGATTCAAATTTCTCCATGAAAACATTGGCTATCACTGGTGATAAGGGAGAACCCATGGGGGTACCCTCATTTTTTTGTAAAAGGTGCCATTCCAAGTAAAGTAGGTATTGGTGAGGCAGTGTCTAATCAGCACAGGTGTATCGGGGTCTAGTCCATGTTGTACCAAATTTTCAATGATTTCAAAGGTGTCAGGTACCGGGACCTTGGTGAACAGGGAGACCACATCGAAGCTGACAAGGATATCATCAGGGGACAGTACAACGTCTTTGACCATAGAGACCAAATGAGCTGAGTTAAGTACTGCTGAGGAGGTCTAGCCAATGTTTTCATGGAGAAATTTGAATCAGACGCCATCCAGACTTCCACCTTCAGACCTTCCCTGTGGAAGAGATATGTGGATGACACTTTCGTCATTTGGCCACATGGCCTCCCAGCTTTGAACCTTTTCCTACAACACATCAATTCTAGACATCCCGCCATCAAATTCACCATGGAAGTGGAGAAAGATGGCAAGCTACCATTCTTGGATGTTCTGTTTGAGAGGAGACCTGATGGCTCACTGGGGCATTTTGTTTACAGGAAACCCACCCACACAGATTCCTACTTGAAACCTGAATCCCACCACCACCCAGCTCAAAATAATGATCTCATCAAAACGTTATACCACAGGGCACATTGCATTTCGGACCAACATCACCTGACCAGTGAATTAAAACATGTACACCTGGCCCTCAAGAGAAATGGATACTCTGACCGTACCATCCGCCAAGCTGTTTCTCCCTCCATACAGAAACAACCACTTGATACTCCGGTAAAAACCATCACACTACCATATATAGCAGGCGTTACTAAAAAGATCTCCAAAATTCTAAACAAACACAAGATCCAGGTCCGGTTCAATACAGTACACAAAATCCGTGACCTGATCCCATCCGTGAAGGATGTCGTTCCTGACTTACAGTACCCCGGGATTTACAAACTGAGCTGCACCTGTGGTGACTGCTATGTCGGGGAGACGAAACGACGTCTCTGACCGAATTCGCGAGCACAAATCAGATTTGAAACACGGCAGAACGAATTCTTCTGCCGTAGCTGATCACTGTTACAACGCTGTGGGTGATCACAATATAGTTTTCTCCGATACCAAGGTTCTCTGCAAACCCAAACCAAACATTAACCAAACATTAAACTAATTTTCAATGGTACAGTATATATATTCAAGCAGTGGTATTCCAAACTTTCACAGCAGCTTATTTGCCTTCACACCAACATTATGTAAACTCCCCCCCCCCCCCCCCCCCCCACCGTGCCGGTCCAGTACATAATTTTATGCTAATTCCTTTGTCAAGGCGTTTTTTGTTTCCTCCCACACAGCTTAAAGGACGCGACCTGGGCTAGCTGTCTTCACTCCAACGCTGTCCTCTGGACAGTCCAGTCCCTTCACCTGATGAAGGCTACTTGTGTTGTGGCCGAAACGTCGTGGTTATTTTATTTTTACCTACGTGACTTTACCGAATAGAACCAAAGAGTTGGTGCGATTATTCGCAAATGGAAGAAACACGAAAGAACTGTCAATCTACCTCAGCCTGGGGCTCCATGCAAGATCTCACCTCGTGGAGTTGCAATGATCATGAGAATGGTGAGGAATCAGCCCAGAACCACACGGGAGGATCTTGTCAATGGTCTCAAGGCAGCTGGGACCATAGTTACTAAGAAAACAATTGGTAACACACTACGCCGTGAAGGACTGAAATCCTGCAGCGCCCACAAGGTCCCCCTGCTCTGCCGTCAAACATGGAGGTGGAAACATTATGCTTTGGGGGTGTTTTTCGGCTAAGGGGACAGGACAACTTCACCGCATCAAAAGGACGATGGACAGGGCCATGTACCGTCAAATCTTGGGTGAGAACCTCCTTCCCTCAGTCAGGGCATTGAAAATGGGTCGTGGATGGGTATTTCAGCATGACAATGACCCAAAACACACGGCCAAGGCAACAAAGGAGTGGCTCAAGAAGAAGCACATTAAGGTCCTGGACTGGCCTAGCCAGTCTCCAGACCTTAATCCCATAGAAAATCTGTGGAGGGAGCTGAAGGTTCGAGTTGCCAAATGTCATCCTCGAAACATTAAGAAGA